AGATTCAGGTTTAAATTCTGATTGCACCAGCAATAGCCTGGTGACCTTCGACAAATCTCTTAACCTCTAGACAGAGTATAGATATCTTTGCTCTAAAATACTACTGCAAAAATACAAGCAGGTTTTAACATTGTAGTAAATTAATGTAGAAAAACTATTATTAATAATAAGTTTTGTTCCCAGTGAACTTATGATCTCCTAGTGCTTCTAGCATAGTAATGCAATGAACACTTGTGGACACAGGTCAGAGGGAAGACAGCCTTCAGTAGTGATTAAAAACTGCAGATCAGGGCCCTCATTTGATATGCTCTAATTGTGTAGCTGTGTGTAATTCACCTCCCTGAATCTTATTCCACTAATAATATTTTCCCCATTTGTCATATAGGCTTACAAGAAACTGCCTTAAGCAAAATATAAATTTTAGCACATTGTCTGGCACTCAGTGCTTATAGTTCTCTGACAAGATTGCAGTAAGGGTAGGTAATGCATACAGACCTTGTTCAGCAGGTGCCCTTTTGAGCACCCTATCCACTGGAGTAAACTTATCAGAGGATCCTTTTACTAGGAACAGAGCAAAGGCATCAAAGGCCAAGAAACTTATCCTGGGCCTGCTGCAGTAGTTCACATCCTTAGCAATAAGCCACCTAATAGCAAATGAAAATCTGGAGACTAAAGTATGCATTTTAAGTAGAATTTCAAATGGTTAGAACCAGGTTGGTGATATGTACTCACAACCCCAGTACTTGAAAAGAGAGAGACGAGGGTTGGAGGAATTTGAGGCCAGATTTTAGCTAAATGACTATTTTTAAGGCTAGCCTAGATTGTATAAAACTCTTCTTAGGAAATCAAAATGTGGAGTGTGTGTGTGTATTTTCTTTTTACTCAAGGCAAAATCTTGTCTGGTGTTGTTCTTTGTACCACCAAACTAGTTCGGTGCAGTGAGCAGACCCAGGGCATGCATGCCAGGTAAGCATTCTGTCAACTGAGCTATCTCCCCAAACCTCGTAAGCCCCAACCTAGTGCTAGCAGATACTATGTAGTCATTACAAGTTCCTGGTAGACTTTTGTAATGAACATAGCTGTCCCTGACATGTCAGGTGTGCAATTAGGATGCTCCTTAATCTGTTCCCAAGTTATTTAGTAAACCTGCTTTGGCAGTAAATGTAAGAGAGAAAATGATGACTCAAAAGTTTTCTCTTATCGCAGCTCTTCAAATAGTTTTATTTCATCCTTTTAGAATTACTTCCTAAAACTACTAGGAAAACATGAATATTAAAAGGTTTTAAAATTCAAGAACATAGTAGTTAGTGATTGTATATCTTGTACTCACAACTTCAATAAATTGGTGAAAATGAAATTTTTTTAAAAAAAATAGAACTTTGAAAATTTAGCGTATCAAAGGCAGTGTTTGCCCAGGATTAGCATTTAAATATTTGTAGTAATATTCTATTTTACACCCTCATCATTCCCTCTCACTTAAATCACAAGATACAAAATTAGAATTTGCTTCACTTCAAACTTCTTTGATTTTTGCATACTGAGAATTATTTGCTAGGCAAATTAACAATGTAAATGAGATTTTAGTTGGTTCACCTAAAGGATCAAATTATTTTCAAGAATATAAGTGGCAACATTTGCATATTTTAAATTAATGTATAGATGAGCCTTGTCTGATAGTAAGGTACAGACACCACATTTATGATATAAATAATCAACTTACACTCTTACATATTTTGAGACAATTAAACAGCTTCTAGCTCTAAATTGAAGTGCCGTCAATTCATAGTAGTCTGTCCTCAGTATTACCAGTCCAGTTATTTAGTTGATTGTCTACTTACATTCACATTTGAACAGCCCACTCTTTTAACATTTACAGTGGCTCCTTTCTTTAAATGTGGTCACAACCCTACCACCACCACCAAGAAAGCCAAAGTAAGCAGGTGTTGGCCAGTGCTGAGCACAGCTGATGGATGGAGAAGAAGGGGGGCAATCAGAAAGGGACTTTCCTTTGGGAATACCCGACAGCTATTGCCACATTCATTCTCATTCAGAAATTAGGACAATGACCAATTGTCTTCCTCTCTTGCCATGTTTCACAGGCAGTTTCTAAGATATTTTTAATTTCCTGAGAGAAATGGACTCTCTGTCATCTGTTATCTTTTGCCTCTATTTTTAGCTGCTGATTTCTTTTGATCATGAGTATTTAGAAGGCAAGTGTAAAACTAGCTGATTGAAAATTATTTACACACTTCTTTCTGTTCATGTACTTGGTCTAGAAAATGTTTTATCTGCATCTTGCTATGGAAGTGTATCTTTCTATGGTTTTTTCAAATGTGATTTTGATTGTCCTTAAAGATGGGAGAAATGGATTTATGTCACATTAGACCATTTCTTTTGTTCTGTATGAGAATTGTCCCTCATGTTTATTATTTAAAAAAAAATCCTTGAATTACTTTGCAAGTTATAATCTATCCAAATTAATGACTATATGAGGCAAAGTAGAAATGGGAAGAGAGTGTTTTCTGCAATAAATGTGTCATGTTTCCTTCAAATAGACATAAAATACTGTGCAAAGGGGATTTGGAAAGCTTTTGTTTTAGAGAGTTTGTTAGGAGTCCACAGCTTGAGCCTTCTCTTTTTCTTATAACATCAGACTGCTGTGCTCATCCGTGAAGACCGATGTGTGATAGGAACATAGGGGTAGTATGATATGGACTTTGCTCCCTAATGTTTATGAAGTCCTTCACCATTTTGGACTATTGTTAGTGTCATTCTCTTACCAGTACATAGTTAAAGTATAGGAGGACTTTGTAGCCAACCTGATAGAAACTGGAAGGCCTTACAGAAAACGGCACCACATCCAGCATTTCAGCCTACTGAACTCAAAGGCAATTTGCTCTCTAACCACTCTATGATTAAAAGTCTGTGGGTTCTAGAGGGCTGGAGAGATTGCCCAGCAGTCAGGAACACTGGCTGCTATTGCAGAACACTTCAGTTTCCAGACTGTCTGTAACTTCAGTTCCAGGGTTATCTGATGCCTCTTCTGACCTCTGTGGGCACCAGGGATGCAGTACACAGGTGTACATGAATGGAAAATGCTCGTGCACATAAAACAAAATAAAATATTTGCAGTGCTTTGTTCTTTGATACCAAAAGGACAGAGAAAATGATTGTTGTTGATGAAAGTTCTCAGACGAGAGGAAACAGGGCCAAAGGCCATAAGCAGAGAAAGCGGGACGGATTTTAACATTTTTTTTCTTTTTTTTTTTTATTGGATGATTTATTTACATTTCCTATGTTGTCCCCTTACCCCATCCCCAAGATATTGTATCTCTAAAACTGAAACCATGGTGTCCTGAATGGGAAAACTGAAGATGGAGAAAGAGCTCTGAGAAACTGAAACATATCAAATTACTGCCTTTTTATGTATATAAAAAAAATTAAAGACTGGAAAACATGCTCAAGTAAATTTTCTGGAAGATAGAATAAAACACATATAGAAAATGAGACAGAAAAAAAACAAAAGATTAAGTTGTTACTTTCAACATTCAAAAGAAGAGTCCCTAAGAGAAAGTGTTATACATACTTGCATATATATGACATTTCCTAGAGAAATTACTAAAGAAATAATTCAAGACAATTCCTAGAGAAATTATTAAAGGAATAGTATGAGAGAATTAGATTCCTGGATTGAAAGACCTTTAGTCTATAGATTGTGCCTTATATAAAGATTTTTAAAATATAATGAAAAGCTTATCAGCATGAAATTTAAAATGATCAAAAATAATCTTACACCCTATAAAAGACAGCGATATAGCACCTGTAAAGGAGTATGTATGGTTGGAGTGTGGGTCAGTCCTAGAGCACTTGACCTGGCTGACAGAGGCCCTAGGTTTACTATCTAGTACTGGGAAAGTGTGAGCATACACAGGAGTGGATCCAATGCGTTCAGCATCTATCAGCAATTTTCTTTAAAGGAACAGTGCAAAATTCTGATGGATAATCCTTTTTAACTTGGAGTGTTATATTCCACTGTACAGTCAATCAGTTGTTTGTTCAGACATCTAGAGACCTAACCACAGGGTCATGTAGTACTGAGAACACACTTCCGAGTGAAAGAAATCATTGAGAATTAGCAAGACCTAGGGCTCATGAAACAAAGCTGAGGGAAAGAAGAGCACAGAACTGCAGTCAAGGCTAGTAACCATCAGTTCATTGAAAGAGTAGCACATGCTGTAAGAAAGTAGCTGTGGCTCTTTCAAAAACAAGAGACATGGTTGTAGAACAATCTAATATATCGACCATTTAGAAAATTTGATTTTGTTTTTCCTGACCCATGCCAGGCATTGAACCCAGGACACTGCACATGATTGGCAGTCTCTCTGCCACAACTCATTCTGTTGTGGGTTTTTTTGGTAGGTCTGATGGAGCCTTAAGAAAAATATTCTTAGAAACATAGAAATGTTAACCACGCTTTTCAAAGAGGCACTTACTACCCTTAAAAAAAACTAAATATTGTTGAGAAACAACTAGGTCTACCAGTAGTCTTTGCAGTACGGAAGTACTATGAATACAATATTAAGGAACATAGGGTTAGAGTACGTTTACAGCTAGTTGATTTTACCACAACATAAAAGTCCTTAAGTACTTTTTAAAAAACATAAAAAACAAAAACAACAACAAAAAAAAGAAAACAAAACCCCAACACATCCAGAAACAGCAATGTAAACGTCTATTTTAAGACACTGAGGAGAAAATAAAACAAAAACTGTCTAAATGCATTAAAAATGTGTGCATCTGACAATGACCAGGGGCCACTATTCATTGTATTTCTTAGTATTGAAGGCTTTTCAAAACTATTTGCAAATGCTCTGTCCTTAAAAAAAAAAAAAAAGAAAACTGTAATTTTTTCAATGTCTTTTAACATATCAAGGAAATAATAATACTGGCTTGTAGTCAACTTTTTTTGGTTAACATTTTTGTCTGTTTTTCTTCTCCAGGGTTCCTGGAATAACAATCGCTACGGATATTATCTGTGGTTTTCCTGGAGAAACCGATCAGGATTTTCAAGAAACAGTGAAACTTGTTGAAGAGTACAAATTTCCAAGCCTCTTCATCAACCAGTTCTATCCAAGACCTGGAACTCCCGCTGCAAAAGCCGAACAGGTTCCAGCACACGTGGTAAGAGTCTGTTTATAGGAGCCTCAGCTTGTGCCAGTAGTGACACAGACAAACCTGTGTTGCTTTCCCAATGCCAGTGGCTTATGCCTAACCCTTATATTGCAAAATAGAACACTGCCAAGCTCGGCACGGGAATGGAGGAGTTAAATGACCTTACGCAATGAGAGGCCAACAATATCATCTTCTCTATTGAGGAGGAAGATCGAATTTTAAAAACTTTTAAAACTACCATTTTATATTTACTTGTATGTACATTGTAAACCTTGGGATGTTTTGAAATCAGGCAACATTTAAGTACATGGGAGTAGGGGCTGGGATGTGGGCCAGTGGCAGAGCACTTACTTAACATACGTGAGCCTCTCGTTTCCATCCTCACCACTTCAAAGCAAACAAGTAAATAAAATAAAAAAATAAATACCTAGGTAAATAGGCTTTATCCCTTCCTATTGATAAAAGAGCATTTTAGTTATTTATTTGTTGAAAATTTTGTGGTTTTTCTTACTTGATTCCTAAACATGTATCATCTATCTACTCTTCCATCCATCTAGCTAACACCTCTATCTGCTCATCTGTCTTCTTTCTGTGTAATCCATCTATCCTCTAGCTAGCCATCCATCTTCTACTTATCCATCAACTCATCCATCCAAAGAAACATGCCTGTACTATCAGTGCAAATATGTAGACTGTTTAATTCTTTCTGATTGACCAAAACAAACAAACAAACAAACAAAAAGCCCAAACTTTAATGCCACAGATAATTAACTTTACACAGACATGAAAATAAGCTAATCCATTACCCTTTCTATTTAAGTTATTTATTATTGAGGTTTGACCTTTTTTTGGTGTTGGGGATCTGTGAATCGGCAGTGTTTGTGTAGCGCACCCCACATCACAGTCAGGTGTAGGACAGTTCCATCTGCCACCCAAACGCCTTCTCCCCTTCTGTGGTCATCTGCTCCTTATGAGCAGATGTCAGCTGTTGCTGTTGCTATCTTTCCTGTCATAATTCAGTCCATTTTCCCAGCATTTTCAAGACTGTTTTTGGACTAAAGCATATCTACTGACCTGGTTTCTATATCATTCATGGAAGTCCATGTGCATTATCTTCTAATGGCTGTCAGGTATGCAATCAATCAGTTTAAGAACGTTCTTCATGGATGAAGATCTCTGACATGGCTACACAGAAAGGGATCCTGGTCCTTCCCTTGCCAGAGAAAGCTGCTTTTCCTCATTTAACAAGAGACTTCATCAGTGTTTGAATTTGGGTTTTATGTGTTTCTTTTTCATTGTGGTAGTAAATGTTTTGTGAGTGGCTCTGGGCCATGCATGTTCTCTGCTGTATAACATTTCCCTCCTAGTTATCCCTCCTAGCAGCAGAGACATGTGGGCACTCGGAGCTTCTTAACATGAGAGCTGCCATCAATATAGTCATCACCAATCTTGTTTTTAATCTTTTGTTTCCTTCATGTGTAAGCTTTACTGCTGTGTCTTGTAGAGTGTAATTGTGTTTTCATGGGAAATGCAAATGATCTGATTGGCTAGGTACAGGCAGAACACCTTCCTAAGCAGTTGAATAAATGTAAAATTCCTGTAGCTGCCTGCCAGCTCTGAGCTGTATTCTCATAATGTTTGTATATTACCTATGTATTATAATCTAACTGTGGCTTTCCGTCTCCTTGGAAATGAGTAGTGTTCAATTGTGTGCTTATCGTGTGGTACCCCAACTCGCTGCAGTTTTAATCTGCAGTTCATCTCACTTGCTCCCCCTCCTCACATGACTTCTCTTGGGTGGGGCGTTTTCTTTTGCCTATTTGGAATATGTTCTTTGCTTTCTTAATGCAAAGTTTTTAGAATTCTCTGTAATTTTGGGATAACAGTCCTTCAGATATGTGTTGTCTCACAGAGATTTTCTCTGTGTCTTGTCTTGAGACACAGTCACTTTTTCACCATGTCTTTATGAAATTTCCTCATGTGTTTCTACCTTGGCTGCCACAACAAGCAGGACACAGTGATGTGGACAGCAGGAATATGTGTCTGCACATTTCTGAAGGCTGGGTGGGGGTGCAGAGGCAGGCCCTGCCAACACACATGTGCAGGAATCTTTCCTGGCCTCTTTCTAGCTTCTGGAGATTGCTGGCTAGCGGAGGTCTCCTCCTTTGCTGTTGTGTCGCTTCAGTCTCTGCCTTCATTGTCACCATAAGCCTCTGTGTGTGCTCCCTCTCCTGGAGAGTTGGGGGGTCCTCCACCGTCATCTTAACTGCTTTCATCTACAGCATGATTTCGAACATTTCAAGGTGATTAGGACTTCAAAATAAAAGTTTTGGTGACACAATCTGATGCCTCTTATATTTTAGTAATTATGCTCTGTACAAAAACCATTTCATGAAGTTCTAGCTTTATAGAATGCAGGATCATAAATCCAGAGAATTAGATATTAATGTTGAAACTTTAGAGATTTACTGACAGAGAATAGATTCATGGTATACATTGTGTCTTCTTTCACCTCCAAGGTTTACCACAAATGAATAATTGTTTACCCTGCCTGTTGCAAGTAGTTTATGAAAAAGCTTATTTCAACAGTCACTAAAATACAAGAATGTGGGATATGAGCAATAAATATTATTCCTCATCCCCTTGCCAAGACAAATCAATAATGAAAGTGAATCTAGTGAAAGACTAGCTCCAATAATGGCTTTCTCTTCTGCTTTAGAAATCACTTAAGAAAGGCTTCTTTTTTGACATGTAATTCATTTTTCTTGCACTCTCCCAATATGTTCTTCCCTCACAAATGATATTAAATGAACTTTAATTTCCCCCTTTTTCCTAAGCATTTTTATATCCACAATATTGTTAGTATAAGCAAATCTTGGTGGTTTAATGGGTTATGTTAATGCCCTGATAAATGAACTGAATTGTGTTTGTTTCTTAACCGAGCAAATCACAAATGGTCCAAGTTCTGGATGGTCAAGTTTGCAAAGGCAAAGGGTAAATTCTTTACTATGGCTATTAAAAAGAAACAGAACAGTTTAGAGTTTATAATGAAAATCAGATGATATATTGTCATGAAAAGCTAAACTAAAATTTATTTATTAGCTATTGCAAGGATACTTATGCAGAAGATTTACAACCAAATGAGAGTGACCTTGGCGTACTGGTGAAAGGTCAAATTTACATGTTTATTTTCTCTACTACATTATATCTTTATTCCTTAGTCTTTATTTATTTTAATTCTAGCAATATTTTTAATTGTGACTGTGCTTCTCAGGCTGCCTGGAAAAGGTCACTTAGGTTTTTTAAAGAAAAAAACTTTTGATCCTTAGCTATCACTTCTAGACTGACTTCTGAGAAACATTTACTGAAAACTAATGAAATTGTGCCATGGTCTTTACTTGGATAGCTATGTCACTTGGAGGAGTATCCCTTAGCTAGCAAGAATGGCTGTGAGGACATTCATACTAGATGACAATGTCAGTTATAATATTAAACCTAGCGTAACCCTAAAGTCATGTCTTTAAATATATTAGTTAAAAAGAATCATGGTTCACTTACCAGAAGTTTCTAGATTGTTTTACTCTTAGCCTAATGAAGCCACTATGGACAGTTCTTGCCTGAGCCCCAAGGACTTCATGTTGTGAGGCATGAGGAGGAGGTCTGGAGGGATGCCCTCTAGATAGACAGAGGCAGGTTTCCTAGTTGTCATGTTGGTGAGTCCATCCTTGCCATACTTGTTTAAGTCAAGGTGACCTGGCTGCTTAGATGTACAATACAGAAGGTTGTTGAATCCATTATCATGGCTCTCCCAGTTCTTACTGCCTATTGGGTCAGGAGATACTGTATTTAAAAATATATGCCCCTCCTACCTCCATATGTACACGTGTCTGAAAGACTTCTAATATTCTGGTCACATTTTTAATAAACAACGCCCCCCCCAAAAAAAAAAACCAAACCTTGATTTCTGAATATGATCTAAGGATTTAGGTTAAAAGTTGCCATAGTTCAATGAATCTTGATCCTTTCAGCCTAGTTCACAACATCATAACACCAGTGCATTTATATACACAGTCTCCAGTGTTCACATCAAGTACTTCTCTATGGAGCAGAGGAACAGGAAGCCTCATATTCTAGATCATTCAGAACATTTAGTTATGAATTGATTCCCAAGCACAACCTCATGGTAACCCATCTATCTTGGCATTCTTGCAGTTGTATGTGACCCCTTCTGGTTTTCCCTTTCCTGAACAGAAGTGATTGTGGACTCCTGTGACCCCAGCTACTGGGGAGACAAAGACAGATAGAACATAGGCTCAGGACTAGCCTAGACAGTTTAGCAAGACCCTGTCTCAAAATTGGAAGATAGAAAGGAGGGACGAATGGAGGGAGGGAAGAGGGGAGGAGTTGGGGATGAGTATAGCCTAGGGTTTAAATCCTTGCCTAGCATTTGAAGGTTTCAGAAAGTAGCTCTGGGGTAAAGACAGTATCTTCTCTTTTCCGGATATTCTTTGTACTTAGTGTTAATCAGATATCTGGCCTGCCCATCATTTTGTTGAATCTGCTTCAGCAGATTAGTAGCAGAGTTTTTTAGGGGTGACTCTATGGTAATAGTAGGGAATTATGAGTGGCCATAGGATCTGAGATGTTTGGCATCCGCTATCTCAGTGTGCGGTTGATGCTCACTTAAGAAGATGAAGGTAGAATGCAATGATCTCCAGACCCCTTGGCATGCTTAGTGACACTTGATTCTCTGTTGTATGGTTTTAGGTTCACCTTTTCACCTTATAGTGGAAAGGTTGGGTGTTTGCTTTTCCCTGCTGATTGTTATCTCAGAAACTGTCTCATCATCTATTTTTTTAATGAATATGACAGTTTGTCCAAGCAATTGATTGACTCTTTTCTTGAATCTAAGCTAGAATTGCTGAAACGTAGTTATTAGTGTTCTTGCAGGTTCAGATGGCAACAGTGACTAATGGTGGGGGAAAGAATGGACCCCAAAGATGTCCACA